CCGTGCTAGCCCATGGGGCTTTCAAAGTCGCCGTGGAGTAGTGGCAATGCTCTCGAAATCCACACTCCAAAGGTGAAAGATCCTATGAGTTCCCGGGTAAAAAGCGAGAGCACTCGTGCTATCGGCGGCGACTCTGAAAGGCTGATGTGCAGCACGGTTCATATGACGCTTTACCTTAGCCAGTTTGACTGCTCACAACTTCCTTGACAAGTTCACCTTGCAGTTTTAGTAGTCCATGTTTGTAATTAGCGTTCAAAGAGCTATCGATATATCTGGATCTCAATCCAAAGTTCAATGGGAAGTTAATGCCGTTCCAGGTAAATTTACATGTAGCAAAATGAAAGCTATCTGATGATATAGAAGCCGTGTTTTCATGCAACCTCTATGTCATTGGAAAGCTTTCTTTCTGCTTAATTCTCAGGTACGTTTCGCTTCATTTGAAATGAATTAGGTCGAATTTAGACCCACCGAAAAGGTGTCCAAATTATGAGATTGGCTATAATCCTCGGAGAAAATCTGTCCCCAAAAAGACTAAATCAACTATAAGAGCACCACGGTTTAGCCACGGCTTGTTTCAAGTGATCCATCATTTCTATAGCACCATGGTAAAGAATTTCTGCGTACAGACTCAAAAATGTAAAAGTCAGTTATCGAATCTGGCGAAAAATCAGTTTTGCAAATGTCAAGAAATTCTTTGCGCGCGGCTCAGCAATGTTGAGGCGCTGTCTCTTAGATGTGATATAAGAAGCAGGACGGGAGCATATTTGGCGAGGGACAGAATGTGATAACAGCTGATAAGGAGTGATTTAAACGAGCAGGGAGGACGGAGGAGTTGCTGATTTTGTTATCAAGATGCGCGATGAGGAAACATACCATTTCATACGCGATTTCGTCGTTAGTATCGAAATCGAATCGACCGCTAATTTCCCCAAGCTTCTTAAGATGGTAGTTGTTCGTGGATCACGATACTCGATGCTTCTACTTCACTACCATCGCCACCAGAAATAATTCATCTGCTAGACTCTATCTGATCCGAAGCATGGTAGTTGTTTACGGTAATGGCTGACAGAATGTAACAGGGGTGGCCAAAAAAAGAGACACTTGACTCTACATTTCAAACAGTATTAATCACACTTTGCTGAAATCAAATCGACTGCCCCAGCTCAGTATTGGAGAGCACCTTCTGATCTATCTATACCTTACATGATAGCCTTCTACACGGACGACATCAGAAGATTTTCACACGAAAACATGGTTCACAGTATGAGCTCAACGGGATCGACGAGGTACCATAGACCATTACGACGTCCTGAAATGCTGGCCACTAGTGGTTTTGCATAGCCACAGCTAATGTCTCTAGGAAGCTCTTTAGCAGTTAATCTATTGAAGAAATTGTGAAGCAGCTTCAGGCCGGAGCGATTACGGTAAGCCTCGTTGAGCTCGACAGTGGCGGTAGATGACGTCATATTCTAAAGACGGCGGGGACAGTGAAGGAGAGCCTGCTTCTGTTTACGGAGGAACACCTCAGGAACATTTCACCGTAAAACTTTCATTTTAACCGGCACCCTGTGCGGTGAAAGTTTGATGATGTGC